AATGAACATTTTTCATCAAGCTAGAAAATTAAAACAAAGAAGAACTAGGAGCACAGGAGAAGGTGGGCAGGGAAACAGTACAGACCCTGAGGTGGCCAGGACAGTGGACAAAGGCGAGGGACCCTTCTCACTCTAATCTGTGAGGTAGGACATCTTGGGCCGGATGTGGGGAGAAGATAAAGCTGGTAACTCTAACCCTTCAGCTGCTGCCACTGGCCTGGACCAAGTTCTCAGGCACAAGCTTCTTCTCAAGCCAGAGGTTTCCAGGACTTACTTTCCTTCCTTCCTTCTTTCTTTCTTTCTTTCTTTCTTTGTTTCTTCTTTCTGTTTATTAATTGATTCTTGAGAGAACGCGAGTGGGGGAGGGGCAGGGAGAAAATCCCAAGCAGGCCTCATACTGCCTGCGTGGACCCCAACACAGGGCTGGAACCCATGAACTGTGAGACCCGAGCCAAAACCGAGAGTCAAAGCTTGACGTACTGAGCCACCCAGGTGCCCCCAGGGCTGCATTTCTCTGGGAAAATCTGACATTTTCCTGGCTTGGGCCTTCTGAAGTGTGACAGCCGCAAATAAGAGATGTGTATTGTGGTTCCCCTTCCCCACTCCATTTCCCGCTCTCCCCCAAACAAACTAAACAATAACGTGTAAGAAAGAATATCTGCCAAGATCATCTGTGACCCAAATTTCCGCCCTGAGAAGAGCAGCCTGCCTAGTTGGAAACAAATCCTCAAGTCCTTCTGGGAAGGCTCAGAAACAGCTGGTTGGCTCAGCCTCTCACAATGGCCAGGGTCCAGTCTCCAGGGCTGTGTGGAAAAGGCTTTTACTCTTCAGAGACACTTACGTTTCAGCGGTTGGGAACAGATATTTTCTCTCTTCATCATAAGCAGAGGCCCACGTGCCTTCGTCCTCCAGGTGCGCACAGACCAGACACATAGATGCAAGAGAAGCAAGAACTCCCCCCCACCACATGCATGTGCACATACGTGCACTCCTCGAGGCACACACACAGACTCAGGGACATGTGCAGACACACAGGCACACACATGCCGACGTAGTTTTACAGCAGCACAGACGGAGCTTCTCTGTTCCTTCTGGGTTATGCACCAGTATATCTGACTGCCTGCTGGACATCTATTTCTCCCCGTTTAGGTCTCTTGAACATGTCAAATCTAACATGTCTCAGGCTTCAACTTATCTCCTCTGTAAGTCTGCTCCTCCATCAGTCTGCCCAGCTCCACAAATTCACTCACTTGTACATTCCACGAGTATTTACTGAGTATATTCTATTTGCCAGATACTGTGCTAGGCACTAGGGAACGGGAGGAAACAAAACAGAGACCTTCATCTTATGTTGCCAACAGTCTGGCAGAGGAAATGGGCAAGAAACAAAATGTAATATACTCATGTGGTGATAAATTCATGGGAGAAAAACAATGCAGGTTAAGGGAGTGGAGAGTGACAGAGGGTTCTATGTTAAATCAGGTAATCAGAGAAGGGCTCTGAGGAAGTAACATTTGAGCAGAGTCCTCAATGAAGGGGAGGAATGGGCCATGGGGGTATCTGGGTGAAGGGTATTCCTGGGAGATGGGACAGCACACACAAAGTCCCTGAGGCAAGAGTGTGTGGCATATTCAGGGAACAGTAAGGAAGCCAGAGTGCCTTGGGTGGAGCCAGCAATGGAAGAGCAGTACTAGAAGAGAGCAAACAGGGCCAGGGACAATTGTATAGGATCTGGTAAGAATTCTGGACTAGGAATTAAGTGTGATGGGGAACTGTTGGGGGGTTTTGAGTGGGGAGCAGGGAGACGTGATCAGATTTGCTAAAGGAACTCCAGCTGCTGCATGGGAAACAAGGCAGGAGTGGAAGAGAGAAGCCAGTCACAGGCTACCACAGTGATACATCAGAGGGATGGTGGGAGCTGGGACTAGGGTGACAACAATGGAGATAGTGAGAACCGATTGGATTCAGGATGCACATTTTCAAAGGTGGAGACAACTGGATTTGCAGATGGATTGGCTGTGGAATATGAAGAAAGAGAGGAATTAAAGATAACTCCTAAGTTCTTGGCCTGAGAAACTGAGAGAATAGGTAAAAATCAGTGCCATTTATCAAGATGGTAAACAGTGGGCAAGAACATGTTTTTAAGACAGATCACAAGAGTTCAGTATTGGGGCATGCAAATTTGAGGGACCCATCAGACATCCAAATGGTGGTCTTAAGCAGTCAGTCTAGCATACAGGAGAGAGTTAGTTTAGGGGTCAGCATATAAATGGTAGTTACAGCCATGGGATTGAACAAGATCACCTACGGAGAAATTATAGATTAGAGAAGAGGTCCATTGTGAAAGAGGTCTAATGTGAAAGGTGAGGAAATGTAGAAAGATCCAGCAAACATATCTGAGTTGCCCAAACTGGAAAACTAGGAGACATCCCAAACATTCACCCTCCCCATCGTCATGACTTAATATAATCCATTCCCATGTGCTGCCAATTCTACCCCCAAAATACACCTGGAACCTCTCTTGGTCTTCATCTCCATCATCTGGTCCAGGCCTCTATCATCTCTCACCTTGACCACTGCTCCATTCTCCCAGCTGACCTCCCACATCCATTCTGCCCCCTCTAATCTGCCCTCCCCATAGCAGCCAGAACGATCTTTTAAAAATGCAAATCAAAAAAATATTTTTTTAAAGGGGGGTACCTGGGTGGTCCAGTTGATTAAGCATCCAACTTCGACTCAGGTCATGATCTTGCAGTTCACCAGTTCAAGCCACGTGTTGGGCTCTGTGCTGACAGCTCAGAGTCTGGACCCTGCTTTGGATTCTGTGTCTCCCTCTCTCTCTGCCCCTCCCCTTCTCATTCTCTCTCTCTCTCTCTCTCTCTCTCTCTCTCTCTCTCTCTC